CACCTGCAAGGGGCTGCCCTGGGCACGCTGCATCCACCAGCGCGGGCTCCAGCTTTGGGGTGCAGAGCTTGAGCTTTGGGGTTGTGTGTTTTTTAAAAAACAAACCTCTCGGCTTCTCATGTTTAAGGTCTTGCAATATCCTTGTAGAAATAACACATCTCAATTAATTTTGTTATACTAAACCTATGGTGATGGCCAATAATAAGGTGTTTTTTGAGTCTGTACTGGAAGTTTGCATGTACAATGCTGACAACTGTACTGAATCAGTGGTTTTAAAGAATTTGATTAAAATGATTACTTTCTGAAAGCAAATGATATAAAATAGCTACATCTTGTTGGTTTCTCCTCTTTCGTAACTGTACAATAAAGATGGGCGTGCAAAGCACTTGATTTACCCTTAGCAAGCCGTAGATCTGTGCCCGGCACCCTTGTTGTGGGCAGCTCCCGGGCTGCGCCGCTCCGTGTGGCTCTTTGCCTCTTCCTGCCCTGCTTCCAGAGCGAGTTCCCGTGTTCCCGCTGCTGCTGCACATCCTGCAATGGTTAAAGCAGCACAGACCTCTGCTTCAGCTAGTTTTGACCAGGAATTTTATGAAAAACAGCTTTTTAGCCCGGGCTGTGCTGGGTTTTTGGGCCTGACGTACAATGCCAGCATTTCCCCTGTGCGCCGTTAAGGGGGCTGCCCCAGCAAGAGCGATGCTCCGTTCCAAGCTGGTTCTCCAGCCCTGCACTGAGGGCAACGTCTCCAGCCCTGCACCCAGGGCGCCGTCTCCCTCGTCCCGCTCGCCCCAGCCACGGCCCTCGCTGCCATCTAGCGCCCGTGGACGCGAGTGCCGGGGCCGGCCCTGCAGGGAAGGGCCGCAGAGGAGCCAGGTGCGCGGAGCAGCGGTGCTCCAGCCTCAGAATTGCTCCTTGCAGTTGCACTCAAAAGTCATAGCTTTAAACAAAGCTCTTTTTGACACAAATCAATGGTTTTATCATCCTAGATGCATTTAGAGGCTTCCAATGCTACTGCAAGGGTCCATCCTTGTTGCAGCTGCTGGGGCCGCAGCACCTGCAGAGGGAGCAGGACGAGGAAACCAAGCGGAGCGACGCGGCCACTTGCTGCTCCTGCCCCGGCTGGGGAGATACCCGGTGATGGAGCCTCCGGGAACACCCGCTGCCCTGTCCCTCTCAGTGACACCCACCGGGATCGGTGCCTCCTGGCAAAGGTCCCTAGAAATGGACAAGGGTTTGTGCCTGCGTTAGCGCCAGGCTCTCCAAACTGCCATAGTCCATCGCAAAGCTGATGCGGTGGCAGCCGCACACGAGCAGGCTGGTCGCCCTCCCAGCGCTTACCGCAGAGGTGGAGCACGAGCATTTCATATGCGGGATTCAAAGAAATAATAATAGCAAAATTGAATACACTATTTTAATGCAAAGCCTTAAAGGGAAAGTAGGAGGTTTAACATTTTTGTCAATCTCCCACTGTCAATGCCAAGCTGCTTTGTACTGAGCCTGCCCCTTCTCCACAGCGTTAATGCAAGCAGAGGATAAAGGCATGAAGAAATGTTCCTGTTTCCGCTGCCCTGCTAAAAGCAGAGTCTTTGTGCCTCACGTGTAGGCAACATCCAGCAATAAAAAAATAGGGATGGAAAGAATATATGGATAATCCAAGGAGAGCAAAGAATTAACTGATGTGCAGTGTGGCTTGACAGGAGGGCTCAGGTTCTTCATGGAGACATGACGGATTTCCCTGGTTCCCCTTCCCTCTTCCATCCAACAGATACGAGAAAATAAAAGAGCCTTAAAGCAGAGGCCCTTGCCCAGGGTTCCCGGAGGTGGCACCTCCTCACAGGAGGCGGCAGCAGCAGCGGCCGCAGCGGCAGCGCGCGCCCGGGTACTCCTCGGCGAGCACGCGCCTCTCGTTGCCGCAGACGTAGAACACGTGTGCCTTGTCCCTCCACTCGTACTGCACCCGCGTGAGCGGGATGAGCTCCACAGTCTGCTCCTGGGGGAGAAAGAGGGAAAAGGGG